ATGACTAATTAAGTACAGAATACTTTATAAGAATTATTTATTCCCTTTGCTTAATAACCAGTCACATTGAGGAACTCTGGATAGCCGCAAATAAGCCAGGAAATGTTTCCGGTCTGAACTGAATACTAAATTCATTTCAGTTTTTTCCTTTCCTTCCCCCTCTATTTTACATTTTTAAAAAGCCATTGATATTTCTGACTTCGATAGTAACTCTTAGAATGGCAGATGATACTGGCAGTGGGCAATAGGGTACCATCTGGTCAAAGGGACATTTTTATTCATGTATCTCTTCCTTTCCCAGAGCCTCAAACATGCATAGTTGGGATTGTATTTTTTTTCAGTTCCAGAAAATTGCACACTTCTGCTCATAATTTTGTTGGCCCAGTTTTTGCAGGTGCAAAAGATCTGATATGCACTTATGTCTTTCTGGTATATGTAGTCCTGCCTGGACAATGTCCTGGTCTGTTTCAGCTGTCAGAGAGAGCTGCAAAATGCAGTAGATAACAGATTGAGACGGCAGATAGGCTAATTTATGCCAGATGCCCAGCAGTCAATTGAAACTTACCAGTAAAGGGGAAATGTGGGTGGTGACAAGAACTGCCTCCTAGCAGTGTAATCATGTAATCCTCTAGACATCAGGTGTTACTGTGGTTCCCTGATACTGCTTTTTTAAAAATCTCAAAAAAACTGAGAAGGCAGCTAAATAGGATGACTTGAATGGGCCACGACTGAGATTGAGTGGGAGCACCTGTAAGTCTCGCTGGTGCTGCCCCCACTTGCCCCATCCTGTTCTACTACATCTAAGGGATTTTTTTGTTTAAAAACTCTCTGAAAAATATGCATATGTTTGTCCCCAGGAAATAGATGCAGATTTCATCTATTCAGGCTGGGAAGTGTCTGAAGGGGAAATACCATGAGAATCTGCCCTCCATTTACTTCCCAGCCATATATTTTCCCTCCAGTTGCTTCCCAGCTGTAACATCTGCATATGGGACTCAGACTGATGCCCCCATCCACTGAGGACCTGCCCGCTCTGTCCCATTCAAGCACCACCTTATGAGTTTTTGAGGATTATCAGGGAACTGCAGTAGCTGTAGGAGTAAGTGTTCAAAGAGAAGCAGTAATATCTCCCCTTTATGGAGTAGCTAGAGACATGGGCAGGTGTAAAAAATATGGAGGACACAAAGAACTGTCGGTTTATTCTTGAAATCCAGAGAATTAATTTGTCAAGCAGAACTTGTCACTTCCCCCTAACAGGTACACCTGCTGTCTTTTCCCCCTGTACTAGTGATTTTTAACAGAAAGTGAGCCAACTGTGTGCAAATGACGCTGTATCTAGCCTTGCCTTATCAAATTCCATCATATTACTAACATCACTTTACTTCCTTTCTCACTTGAAACTTACAAGGGCATTAACCAAGTAAAGCTATATATTGGGCAGCTCTGACCAAACACTTGCACATCTGCAAAGATCAGCCAAAATTGTTTAACAAATACAAAGACATTTGGGCAGATTTCTAGGGCTAAACAAAAACAAGAGAGCCAGTGTGATGTAGTGGTTAAGAGCATGGGACTGGGACTCAGACGACCTGGGTTCTAGTCCCCGCTCAGCCATGGAGCCAACTGGGTGGCTTTGGGCCAGTCACAGACTCTCAGCCCAAACTACCTCACAGGGTTGTTGTTGTGGGGATAAGATGGAGGAGGAGATGTAAGCTGCCTTGAGCTCTTTGTAGGAAAAAGGCAGGATATAAATTGAAATAAATAAACAAACAAATAAATAAACAAAATGAAAAAGTGGTGAACCAGTGAGCATTCCTCCAAAGTGCTTCTTCAGCATCTGTGGCTACTGCCAGCAGTTCGGGCAAAATTGTGAAAAGCTGGAAGGAATCTTGCCAAGCAGCTTGTCCACCCAAGGAGAGCCAGTGTGGAATGGAGGTTATAGCGTTGCATGGGAGACCAACTGACGCCACACTGGCAGAAAGCAGAAATGACCCAGAAGTGGCTCCTGATGAAAGTGGAAGAGGAACATTCAAAAACAGGACTGCGGCTGAATATTAAGAAAACAAAAATCATGGCTGCAGACAGATTACAGAACTTTACTGTTAACAGTGAAGAAATTGAAATACCTTGACTCAATCATCAATTCAAAGGGAGGCTTCAGCCAAGAAATTTGAAAAAGAACTGGGACTTGGAAAGGCAGTAATGAAAGAAGTAGAAAAGATAATCAAGGGTAAGCACATTTTGCTGGAGGTCATTTCCGGCCATTGTATGGGTCTGAAAACTGGACAATGAAGAAAGCTAACTGGAAGAAAATTGATGCGTTTAAAACATGGTGCTGGAGGAGAGCTTGGTGAGTACTCTGGACTGACAGAAGGGCTAACAGCTGGACCTTAGATCAAATCCAGCCAGAGCATTTCCTAGAAGCAAAAATGAAAAACTGAGGCTGTCATATTTTGGACACATCATGAGAAGACAAGACTCACTGGAGAAGACAATCATGCTAGGGAAAGTCAAAGGCAGAAGTAGAAAAGGAAAACCGAATCTGAGATGGAATGATTGCAAAGCAGAATCCACAGCCTTGAGTTTGCAAGAGTTCAGCAAGACCGTCAAGGACAAGACATTTTTCATTCATAGGATTGCCTTAAGTCAAAGATGATATGACTGCACATAACAATGACAACAACTGGGGACCTGGGAGATCCAGGTCCTGGTCCCTGCTTGACTGTGAAGCTAATTGAGAGCCAGTGTGGCGTCGTGGTTAAGAGCCTGGGACTGGGACTCAGAGGATCTGGGTTCTAGTCCCTGCTCAGCCATGGAGCCAACTGGGCGACTTTGGGCCAGTCACAGACTCTCAGCCCAACCTACCTCACAGGGTTGTTGTTGTGGGGATAAGATGGAGGAGGAGATGTAAGCTGCCTTGAACCCTTTGTAGGAAAAAGGCAGGATATAAATCGAAAAATGAATAAATAAATAAATAAATAAATAATTGGTTGGCTTTGAGCCAGACACTGCCTCTCAGCCTAATCTACCTCACAGGCAGATATTGTGAGGCTAAAATGGAAGAGTGTAAGCCAAGTTGGTTTTCTCACAAGAGGAAAAAGGTTAGATGTAAACTCAATGCAGTAACAGCAGCAATGCATCATGGCTTGAACAACCCTTGCAACAATCCATGGGTTGTCAGGGTAGTTTGTTGTCCAAAAATAAGCCACCCTGTGGGAAGCTAATTACCCACAGTGATTTGTTGTGTTGTGTGAACCCATCTCTAAGGACGATTTGAGATTTGGCTTTCATTGTATCATTGTGGTGCCTCATTCACTGAATTTGTATACATGTGTTTGCATGTGTGGGGTCAAATAAAGTTATTGTCCACTTGTAACCACAATAGATTCTTTACACAGAAGAAGGAAGCAATACACTTGCTACCATAACACTAGAGGAAATGGAACTTAGAGACCACAAAGTTGCTTACATCTCAAAAAGCAGGGCTATATGTGCATTAGGAGGGCCTGATAAGGTTTTAGCATGGATCTACAGCACAGATTCCCAGAGGCTTTTGCACACTGAGGCTTTTGAGCCAATGTGCAGCTACAGAAGGGGAAAAAGAGTGTGTATGATGCTTTTTCCAGTGTGCTACAAATCAAAATGCATTGTGCTGCAGTTCTGTCTTGTTTGGAGTTGACATTCACTGGAGGTCATCAGGATGAGGAAGGCTGCTTTCCTGCCTTTGCTGGTAAATGGCCAATACCTGTCTGTTTTCAGGTTCCTCTCCACCTGCACCTCTGGGTGGTGCTTCAAGCCCAGGATGGCTGTGGCTTGGGAGAAAAGTTGCCTGAGGACCCCAGCTGTGCCAAACTAAGGACTGGGTACAGCTGGGGTCCTGAGCCACTCCTCGCCCCCTTTCCCACCTCTGCTTTCCTGCCAGTATCCCCAGCAGACACCGCAGGATTGCTGGGAAGAATGGAGATGATAGCTGCCCAGTGTGGGCATGTTCAGCAGCTGCCACCCACTGTCCTGCTCATGCCAGGAGAATGACTTGCTCATTGGTATTAGCAGAAGCATGGGATGGGGAATCCAGAGTGGGGGAGCACACGCTGCCTCAGGATGGGCATTGGAACCCAGCATGAGGCAGCCCACCCCACTGCTTGGTCACGACACTCCTCAGCTGAGCAGTGAGGAAGCACCCCTTTGCTAGGCAGGCTGCTCACTGAGTGGAGGGGAGGTGAAATTCTTTCATTTCATGAGCAAATTGCATCATGACAGAGGTAGATTGGAAAATAACAACTGACATTTAAAACACCCTCCTGTAAGTCGTTGTGAATACTCTGAGCCTTATCCACCACCAGAGAAGACAAGAAGCTCAGAGGAGTCAGCAGCTGTTTGACCTGGTTGGATGAAGGAAGGTTGTTCTCCGGAAATGGCCATCACTCAAGCATGAACGTTGAAGCAGGCATCATTTACTGAACTTCTGGGGAAATAGCCTTACCTGTGTAGCACAGGTGAGGGGGGAAGTTAAGGAAGGTGCACAGTTTGCGATAGCACAAAGGAGAGTAGAAGGGGATATCTAATGAATGACTGTTTCTGTGAAGCTTTGCCAATTCATTTCAGTGTGTTTGATTGCCATGTTTGGGATTTTGTCACGTACTTTCTCAAGCCTGCAGCTTGTAAGCACACAACATGCAGTACTAATATGCAGTTCTAACTTGAACATTCATTCAATTTATTTGGAGAAAATTTGCAACCTTAGATTATCTCTCAAAACAGCAGAATGTGAAGACAGAGAAGCCAAATGAAAGGATTGATGATTCCTTTGAGATTAGCAAAAGTTTTTAGAGGATTCCACATATTCTACAGAGGTGACAGCTCATTACTGCAAAAAGAGAGCCATTTCCGGTTGCTGTTACAGTGCTCAAAATGTGATAAAGTAATGTGGTTTCCTCTTGAACATGTGAGAGCTGATGGGAACTGACTTTAGGCTTCGGTATATATACACTCCAGTTGGCTGGTTGTCTTCTGCTTGGCCCAGCCTTTCCCCAGTTCATTGTAGCATGGAGACAGACAGTAAGACTCCAGTGGGGTAGATCCAAGGGGAAGACAACAGAACAGTAAGTAGCATTTCTACTGTAGGATGTTGTTTAATTGTACCTAATAACTAACATGTTGCCTTTTCCTCCCCTCTCTGTCAACTTACTAAGATATTTAGAATAGAATAGTAGAGTTGGAAGGGGCCATGAAGGCCATCGGGTCCAACCCGGGGCTGTTGCAGGACACCAAGTTACACCATCCCACTCAGATGACTGTCCAGTTTCTTGTTGAATGTCTCTAGTTTGGGAGAGCCCACCACCTCTATCGGCAGCTAGTTCCACTGTTGTATTGCTTGGACAGTGAGGAAGCTTTTCCTGATGTCCAGCCTGAATCTGGGTTGTCACAGCTTGAACTGATTATTCTGTGTCCTACACTCTGGCCTCAACAAGAAGAGATCTTGACTTTCCTCTTTCTGACAGCCTTTGAGATACTTATAGAGGGATATCATGTTCCCCCTCAGTCTTCTCTTCTCAAGACTGAACATGCCCATTTTGCTCAGTTTCTCCTCATAGCACAGCATTTCCAAACCCTGGATCATTTTTGTTGCCCTCCATTGGACCCTTTCTAATTTACCTGCATCTTTCTTAAATCTTGGTGCCCAGAATTGAACACAGTATTCCAGGTGAGGTCTGACTAGTGAGGAGTATAGAGGAATTACTACTTCTCATGATTTGGAAGTAATACTTCTGTTAATGTATCCCAAAATAGCACTTGCCCTTTTGGCAGCTGCATCACATTGTTGGCTCATGTTTAGCCTGTTGTCCACAATAACTCCAAGGTCTTTTTCAGTTTAGTCACATATTCCCCATCTTGTATTGATCCACTTGGTTTCTTTTTCCTAGGTGGAGGACTTGGCACTTGTCCATGTTGAATCTCATTTTCTTGCTTTCACCCCAGTGGTCAAGTTTATCAAGCATGCCCTGGATCTTCAGTCTGTCTTCTAGGGTGTTTGCTATTCCACCCAGTTTTGTATCATCTGCAAATTTGATAATCTTTCCCTGTACTTCCAAATCATTAATAAAGATGTTTAAGAGCACTGGGCCAGGACTGAACCCTATGGCACCCGACTAGTTACCTCCATCCAATTTGAGAAGGTACCACTGATGAGCACTCTTTGTGTGAGATTTAGCAGCCAATTTTGGATCCACCTAATAGGTTTTCCATCTAGTCCAGTTTTTGTTAATTTGCTTATCAGAATGTCGTGTGGCACCATGTTGAAAGCTTTGCTAAAGTCTAGGTAGATTATGTCAACAGTGTTCCCTTTGCCCATTTGGGAGGTTACCCAGTCAAAAAATGAGATTGAATTAGTCTGACAGGATTTATTTATTTTTGATAAATCCATGCTGGCTTCTGTTAATCACTGCATTTTCTTCAAGATGTTTGCAGATGGATTTTTTAAATAATTTGCTCCAGAATTTTTCCAGGGATTGATGTCAGACTAACTGGTCTATAGTTCCCAGGTTCAACGTTTTTCCCCTTTTTGAAGATAGGGCCAACATTAGCCCTTCTCCAGTCATCTGGCACTTCTCCTGTTTTCCAAGACTTATCGAAGATAATAGTCAGCGGTTCTAATAGTTCCTCTGCTAGCTCTTTTATGACTCTGGGATGGAGTTCATCGGGCCCTGGAGATTTGAAAGTGTTTATTCCATCTAGGTATTCCTTGACCATTTGTCTGTCAATCTTGGGCTGCCATCTCTTACTTCCAGCTTGTACTTCCTCTTGATTGCAGATTTCCTTGTGGGAGAAGACTGAGGCAAAGTAGGAATTGAGTGCCTCTGCCTTTTCCTTGTTGTCTGTTATCACTCTGCCATTCACTTTAAGTAGCTGGACACACTTCTCTTTCTCATGTCTTTTGTTCTGGATGTATTTGAAGAAGGCTTTCTTGTTGTGCTTGGCATCCCTTGGTATTCTCAGTTCATTTCCTGCCTTAGCCTTTCTGATGCTATTCCTGCAATTCCTTGCTATTTGTTTATATTCTTCCATTGTGGCCTGGCCCTACTTCCACTTCCTGTACATGTTCTTTTTTTCTTTCAGACTGTCATTTAACTTTTTGTGGAGTCACGTGGGCTTCCTCTGCTGTCTTCTGCACTTTTTTCTTGATGGAATTGTTCATAGTTGTGCTTGAAGAATCTTCTTTTTCAAGCTTTCCCACCTTTCTTGGATGCCTTTTCCCTTAAGGGTATGTTGCCATGGCACTTCACTTATAATTTTTCTGAGTTTGTTAAAGTTGGCTTTCTTAAGGTCCAGGTTGCTTGTTTTTCTTCAGTTACCCTTTGTCTGCTTTATGATTGAGAATTAAACTATTGTGTGGTCACTTTCCCCCAGAGTTCCTGTGGTTGTTATTTTGTCCACCAGGCCATCCCTGTTAGTTAGTATTAAATCAAGGATAGCTGATCCTCTCATACCTTCCTGTACTTTCTGCTGGAGAAAGTTGTCGGCAACACATGTCAGGAATCTCTTGGAAGGGCCACGCTTGGCAGAATTTGTCTCCCAGCAAATATCAGGGAAAGTGAAGTCCCCCATGATGACTACATCATTCTTGGAAATGCTGACAAGTTGCTTTTCGAAGGTTGCATCCTTGTCCTCTTTTTGACTGGGTGGATGGTAATATATGCCAATAACTATGTTTTTATTATTTTTTTGCTCCCTTTAAATTTAGCCAGATGCTTTCAGTGGGGCTACTAAGTCCCTTTTCTTGATTTTCTGTGCAGATATATGTGTCTCTTACAGATAGTGCAACTCCACCTCCCTTTTTGTCCTTTCTATTTTTCTTGAACAAGTGGTATCCATCAGTTGTAGAGTTCCAGTCATGTGAGTCATCCCACCAAGTTTCAGTTATTCCTATAAGATAATTGCCCTCGTGGACTATGAGCTCAAGTTCATGTTGTTTTTTCCCCATACTCTGGGCATTGGTGTAGAGACATTGAAGTTCATTCTTGCTGTGCCCGAGTTTTCTTCCTAATTTTTTGGGAAACTGGTGTTGGATCCTGCTTGAGGTTTTTTCTCTGTTGAAATATGTAAGTCTTTGCCAGGTGATGGTATGCCATGCTGCACATCTCCCTCCCTATAGGTTTAGTTTAAAGCTCTCCTAATGAAGTTTTTCATATAGTGGCCAAACATCTGCTTCCCGTTCTTTGTGGGGTGCAGCCCATCATTTGCCAATAGTCCATCTTCCAGGAAGCTTAACTTGTGGTCCCAGAATCCAAATCTCTCTTTACAGCACCACCATCATCTCCAGTCATTCACTTGAAGGATTTTTCTTTCCCTAAAAGTTCCTCTTCCGTATACTGGCAGGATTGAGGAGAAGACTATCTGGGCCCCAGTGTTTTTGATTTTCCTCCCCAGAGATTTCAGGTGTGATGTTATTTCAGTGAAACTTCTCGTGGCAGTGTCGTTAGTTCCCATGTAGAAGAGAAGGAGGGGGTATTTGTCAGTGGGCCATATGAGTTGTGTGAATTTGCTGGTTATATCTTTAACCTTGTCACCAGGGAGACAGCATCCTTGGTGATACTCTGGGTCATCACGACATACATATTTTTCCATCCCACACTAGAGGGAATCTCCCACAACTAGCACTCTTCTCCTTTTGTTGCAAACTTTGCTGTCCTTTTCCTTGATACCCAGTGTGTCGCGTAGTTCTTTCACAGTGGGTTTCTCACACGTCCCCTCCTCAAGTAACTGAAAGCGGTTTGAGAGTTCCACTGCTTCCACGGCTGCAGAGTATTTTCTAGGTCTTCTACATCTGTCACCCTCTTCCAGCGAGTTTCCTCTTTTCCCTTCCCTGAGGGTTCTCTTCTGCTGTCTCAGCTTGATGTTGGTCTTCTTCCTGCTGGACTGCACTTAGCTGCTGCAGCTCCTCTGCTCTGTCTAAAAACTCTTCGTTTTCTTTTATAGTTTTATAGGGGTGGACACTCGCTTCTGCAGTGCTCTCACGTTTTCCTGTAATAGGGATATTAGTGTGCAGCAGTTGCAGTTGTTGCCGGCCACCACTGAGGCATTTCCTCGGTGCATTGTTTGTGCCACTGCATGTGGTTGCTCGCTCCCTGGGAGCTTGGCTGCTGATATCCCAGAGGCCCTAGACTAGCTGGGGAAGCTTGCTCTGATGTGCTCTGCTCTGCTCAGAGTCAGGAACCAGAACTTAGTCTTTTGGAGTGTGTTAGAAATAATCCAGCTATTCCTCTGTGGATCTTAGAACAGCTTTTAGCTGCACAATCACCCAATGGATTAAGTTACTCTGAAAGGCTGTTACCAGCAATGGCTGTCACTGCATCGTTTAGTGAAGATTTGAACCCAAAAACATTCCTGCATCATGCGCAGTACTCTAGGCACTGCAGAAGCACCTGTCCTGAGCCTGACTTTGAGGGCAGAGTTTAGATCCACTCTTGACATCTTTTGTGGGAAGTGGGGACGAGGTTGAAGTCCTGGAAAAGAATTGGAGCAACATACAAACCTGGAAAACCATCACAGGGTTCACACTAGGCACATTAAGGGAGGAATATCTACAGGCTCTTATGCACTTTGATTGCTCCTATTTTTAAGTCCTGGCTTAACATTCAGTGTCACTTGAGGAACTTTTACATGGCCAGCATTAGCTAATGTTAAACACTGTGCAGGACTGGAGTGCCTCTGAGTGGAATACTTGATATTGGAAGGGTCTGATAAATGTATAGTGACAACCCAACCAACCACTCCATATTTTCTGGGAACAACTGCCCAAGGCTCAACAAATAGCCACTCTGTGCTTTATTGAGCAGTTTTATGGTAAGTCTGTATTTCTTTTCTGAGCATTTATGATGCCCAGAGTGGCAGAAAGACTGGAAGAATACATTTAACATAAAACTGCCCTCTTTATTTATAGTCAGAAAATAGTGAGTCATTAGTTTAAAGTCTTGTTCATATGTTTGAAGTGCCATAGTGTTCCTTCTGGCTTTCTTCCCTGCCACATAGTTCTTTCGCCTAACTCATTATGGTATGGCATGGCACTCCACTTTCCAAGCAAAGCCACAGCTTGCAAGTCAGT